TCCTTTCCTTTTTTTTTTTTTTTTTTTTTTTTTTTTTTGCAAGAAACAGCCCGAGCGACTGCTAAGGGTGCTGATATGATCAGACACCGCTAACAGTGCCGGGATGGCTCCATCTATGTTCCAACAATAGACGTGCATGACGATTATTTTTTTGAGAATTAACAACTAACGTCAGACAACGTAGCGCAGACAGATTATGCATGGTACACCCTTTGAGTATGCTTGTCACCAGCGATGGTAAGAAGAACAACTTCCGTCGTCCACAAGCAACAGCACATCAAACCTTCTCTCTCTCTCTCTCTCTCTCTCTCTCTCTCTCTCTCTCTCTCTCTCTCTCTCTCTCTCTCTCTTGTTTCCATTTTCCCTGCTTTCTCTCTTCTTCTCGTCTACAACTCTAACCGCAATCTCCCAAACGACACCAAGTGAGAAGCGTGCTGTCTACTCCGTCACGTGCACTTTCAACTTGCACAGTCACGAGGAAGGAGAAAAGCGGTGACACAGCAAGGACGGACTCTGACTGAATACGACCATAATTCTTCCCAGATTCATCCAGAAAACGGACTCTCGCACACATAAAAGTCGTGGCTGACAGAAGATGAAGCATGATCCTGGAGAGCTGAAAAACTTACTCGGAATGTCGGGGCAATCCTTTCACCGAGGGAGACGAAGCTGAACGAGTGACGAAGCGCACGAGGAGGACGAGGAGGATCAGGAGAAGGAAGGCGGAGCCAGGTGGGTCTGTGAAAACGAGGACGTGAAACGAAGTTGCCAGGCAGCCGGTAATGTCATCCGCTGAGCTGTGCCGTTATGCTCTGCACGGCGATGCGCTCTACTCTGCTCCTCTCCTCCCCTTCTTCCTCCTTTTTGTTCGAGCCTCTCCCGCTTCTTTTTGAGTCTCCTCTCCCGCCCTTTTCCAGCCCCGGTCCCACATGGTTTCGCAGTTCACTACACGGCGTGACACCAGGTAGGGGAAAACAAAAGGAAGTTCGTTGAATGTGAACAAAAAGGGGGGCTCTGAAGTCAAAAGAATATATGGACTGATGTAGCGTGAGGGGTGGGATTTTCCCTTCTTTTTTTTTTTCAAAAAAGCCCAGGTTGTTGTAGAGGCTGGATTATAGACACATGAGAGATTCACCTTCAGCACTTGACCATGTGGTAGAGGCCCCCTAATCCTATGGGACTCCCTCCCAACCTACCACTTTCGTAATTTCTCCTGGCGCACTTCTACTCCCACTATCCTACCTTAGTGTCTACCACTTAAAATCATCACCCTCCAACCTGGGGGTGACCTGACCGAACCCTGGTTGTAGGTACCAGGGCTTAGCAGAGTCCCACATACCCCACTCAGCCCCGATCAAAGCATAGTTGAGCGAGCCTTGTTGAGAGAGGCTTGTCGCCCAGGTACTTCAGGTGCTAGGTACAGACATTTCACTACAAGTCCCATAGGCAGACCTTATTTTTGTGTTCCTATCCTTGTGTACACAGCTGTTGTTACTGTTGTTTGTTGTTAGGTTGTTCGCTGTGCACACTGTTGTCATTATTGTTGTTGGTTGTGAGCCATTTTTTGTATGAGTGTAGGAAGCAGGTAATCTACCCTACCGGCCATAGCCCCCTACTAAGTCTCATCTCCTCAACTGTTCTCGTTATAAGTCTACGGCCCTCCTACTTAACCCCTCCCCTGCATAGTGGCCGACCCCCCCAAGATCCCGAGCTACAACGGGATCCCCTCTGTGTCTGTCTCTTATACACATCTAGATGTGTATAAGAGACAGCTCCTCAACTGTTCGCGTTGTAAGTCTACGGTCCTCCTAACTAACCCCTCTGTGCCTAGTGGATGACCCCCCCAAGATCTCCAACTAGCAACGTGATCCCCCCTGGTTCGTCCTCCCTGCGACTCTACCCTCTTACCTAGCAGAGCCGTAAGGTTATCAATACCCCTGCCGACATCCCACAACGTTAATTGGAACACATGACCTCATCCAATCTTCCATCGAACCTACTGAGCTACTGTGGAAACTGAACGATTTGTACGCAGTATCGGACTGGAAGGCAAATGAACAATCATCGTCAAGTATGCAAGTCCGCAAAGAACCACTAGAACCAAGAGCATCAGGCAAACATCCCACAGCCCAAACCCAACATACAACAACCATGGACTTGCCCCTGGGTGGTGCACAAGCAGTGTCTGTAATAGCTTACCTGCGTCAGCTCAGGGGGGTGTGTCCAGCGGTGCGTCATTCTAACGCCCTGCCGGTGTCCATGCGCAAGGCTGCGGCGTTTTGAACACGCAACCTCATACCACAATGCGCATTTCCAACTGGTGCTCTAACCACTGAGCTTTTCCCGTACTTTCCACTTTTCCCCTACTCTCTACAGGGGTGGGATTTTCCCCTACTCGAATACCCAAGAGGACTCCCCACCAATACTCCCCACCAATAGATGGAGCCTTCAAACAGGGAACCACTTAGGGGGGGGGATGCTCTTATCTCCTCCCTAAGGAGCGCCCCGAACGAAGTTTAAGATTCAAAAAAAAAAAAAAGGGAAAAGTTTCCAAATGCCCGTCCTACTTCCATTTGTTTGTGGTATGCCCCTCAGACGGCCAATTTACCCTCTTGTGCCCTGGAGCCTCTGAAGTTTCCTGCAGGCCCCTGTCAGTGAGCGGTGCAATTTTCCAGCATGTCCCTGTGGCCTTTGGTGGCACTCGCGGCCCTTCACCTGGCCCTGGGAGGGGAGCTACTGGAGCCTACTGGAAATCTGGAACCCCTACCGGTAGGGGCATATTGAACATATTTCAGGCCCAAAGGACACCAGGGGTTTTTCAGAAATTTCAATGCTTGTCAGAGGGGCACGACAGGGTACGTTGGCCATTAGAGGGGCATACCGCAAGTGGAAGTCGGAGGAGCATTTACAAAATATCCCTCCCCCACCACCACCACCACCACAACTTAAAAAAAAAAAAAAAAAAAAGGAGGACAAGAACGTAGTAGGAAAAACCCTGGCTTTGGAAGATGGTTGCAGGTCTTCCCACAGGCCCCAGCGCCCAGAGACTATCAGAGCAGCTGTAGCGAAGTGCTGGGAGCAGCTCGCCTTTTTTTTTTTTTTTTGTAAGAAAGCCCAGGGTGTTGTAGAGGCCAAGGACCTCACCCTCGGTGATTGCTGGCAGGGGCAGCCATTGGTTGTCCTGACAGGATAGGCCGGCAAACCAACAGCATGCTGCGCTGTTATGGCTCCTCTCATTTTGGGCCACCCCCTTGCTGGCACAAAGAGGAGTTCAGGTCGATCTTACCTGTGAGCGGTGCAATTCGGCCTTCAGATCCACCCCACACCCCACATCTCTGTGCGGACTGGCCGGCTTCCAACCAC